TAATTTAGGGGACCCAAAATGGGACCATAATTTTGACAATCCCCCACATGAATTCACTCGTAGAGTCCCCTTCAAACCTATTAGGGATGTCGCCCTGCAGGTTTTTGCGGGAAGTCAGTGTAAAGTCGGATGGTGGTCCCCATAGAATTCGGCCCCTTTCCTCGGAAGGGACATGTCTTTCCTCCAGGTGAAAATGGATCTGCCTTCAAGGGGAGGTGCAAGGGCTCTAGTAACCTATTACTAGTACTATCCTAGTTCTACGAATGTGAGAAACTGATATGAAGCCCATTTTTCAAAATGGAACGCCATCCTGGGTCAGGTCGTTGTAATTTGCCCCCGTCCCAAAGGCCCGCCACTAATATCAACCCCCGTCCCCTCAATACTAATACCATCACAGGTGGCATTACGGGGTATAGTCCCCCTTAAGTAGATGGAATATGGCGTATATGGGGATCTCATTTTTAGCATACCCAAAGCATATTCTATCTACTTAAGGGGGACTAAAAGGGGACTCACGCTCTGGCCATGCCAGGTGTCGTGAACTACTTGGAGGGTCATGGGGACTTAGTAAGTAGGCTACTATATGGCTTATGGGGTTATTGACCTACTTACGAAGTCCCCATGACTCTCCAGGTAGCCCTGGCTTGTGAAACCCTTATGCTTTCATACTGGTGCTTCCGGACGGTTTGGAACTTATAGTCTAGGGGTTTAGGGCTTTTGGTGCCTGAAGAGTTTACCGCCCGACCTTCAAGTGTTTTGCGGCTTAGGGGCTGGGGCTTAGGGAGGTTCATGGGTGGTTTGAAGTGGGGCTTGCCCGCATTTACTCTTAACAGGCTCGGACTAGTTTTGTTGTCCTGCTGGGCCTAGATCTATGGGTTGGCGTTGCAGCGGTAAGGTTGCCTGAGAATGTGTCTGCACCACTAACCGGGTAGCTATCAAGGCAACACGAAAGCAGCTCCATTTTACTTCTAGCTACACAAGGCCCCTTGCAAGCTTGTGGACGAAACCAACAGAATCTTCACTTCGCAAACCCTGTGAAGCGTCCAACCATAATTTCAAACTTCCTGAACCCCAAACCCTAAGCCCCTTTAACCCTAAACCTTAACCCTACAGCACCCCTAAATCCATGAGAGGCCTCGCTTGGAAGGCCTGACTCACCAGCATGCACCACGCTCGCCTGGTTTTTCTACATGGAAGTTCAAGAAATTGGGGTTCCTCTTCTGGGGGCCCCTCTCATAAGGCATATAGTATGTTGACATCCACTAAAGGGGACCCTTCCTTTTTGGAATCGCCTTCATGGGGATGTACAATGATGATGAAACTATGGCAGCTTGAATCCGCCGGAGGATGCAGAGACACCTGGTAAAGTCTCTTGTGAGAGGTTCCCATGTGACTGGGTTCTTCTCACCTGGGTTGTTGTTAAGGTATGCAAACTAATTTACCACAATGGGAATACATAGTCATCAATATGCTTCCACCATTACAGTGACTTGAAAAGTTCTTAGAACCTGTATATCAGTTTGCATATCATTTTCCACGTTTTTTTCCCTTCAATTCTCCGTTATACGGGGATAATGTTAACTCTGTAACCCTAAACCTATATACCCTATGTACCCCATATACCCTTGTTCTACTCACTCAAGTTCCGTTAACGGCAACCCAGTTCGAAGGGAACCACAGGGGTCGAGCGCTAGTCGGTCCTGCCTTCAGCATGCCTTGATACGCATCCAGTATATCGATCTCGCCATTCCTCGGACGATCTCAAACAGACCAAGTACCCAATAATTAGGTCCCTTTTAAGGGATGTATAGGGGTATATAGGGATGTATGGGGATATATTGGGATATATTGATATATTGGGATATGTAGGTTTTAGGGTTTATATAGGGTCCAAGTAGCCAATAATTAGGTACTTGGGTTTAGGGTAATAGTAATTATAGTACAGGTTTTGGGTAAGTATATGATTATTAGGTACTTGGACCCTTAGTAGTAATGGATCGAAATTGTAAGAATATTAGTGATACTGATGACTGATAATCTTTTGCGTAGTTGGGAATCAGATTCCGCGATCTATTGAGGATGTAGGGCATGTGAAAGGGGAGAAGCCAGAGGGAGTTCAGTTCCTGGCGAAACGAGGTGCGACCCGAAGATGGCAGAAATCAAAGACTAACAAGAGGTTGTGTACGCTTGGGTCACGGGTCTTCTCATTCGCATACTTCAAGCCTGACCTCATGTGAGCTGCTAATTCTGTTTCCCGCGCAAGTGGCACTTGGGGTCCCTTTGGCATCCATCGTAGGTTGACTGGCTCATTTTGAATCCCAACTCCAGACCAATACGTACTTTGCCTCCTCCCAACTGCATAAGGATGCCGATCTATTTGCACACCTCGGAGTAGATAAGCGAGACCCCTTGTTTGGAAATACCAGTATCTACTCGAACACAAACCGCACATATCCGCACACGGTGGGAACAACAGCTGACGTGCGGCCAGGTGTCTTCGGCCAGGCCACTCCCTCGATGTCACCCACTGACCACCTTGGCTGCGACTGGGCTGGAATTTTGTAGAATTATGGAGGTAGGTCAAGATAAGGTTTAGGGTTTAGGGTTTAGGGTTTATGGGTTTAGGGTTTTGGGTTTAGGGTTTAGGGTCTTAGGATTAAATCGGGGTTACATTGAGGCTATATTGGGGTTGTTTTTTGGGGTTTATATAGGGACAGTGGAAAAGAAAATGCAGACTACTACAGTGTTTAGGGTTTAGGGTTCACTAAATCACTCCAAGCCACAGGGAGCTCCAAGCCCCGGGTCGGGTATCAATTTTGGCGCGCATCTCCAGCATGCCATACGAGAACTCCTGGCCATCGAAAGCATTGGAGGATGACGTATTTAGGTGAAACTCCAGAAGGTTTCGTAAGGCTCTTGTAGGCCAAAGATGATCGCAGGCTCTATATACGCATGTTCTAGACTCGAGCTTCTTGAGGCATCTCAAAAAGCTTCTGGCCCCCTTGAAGGCGAACTCCCGGGAGACATGTTGGGGTTCCTCAAATAATTGACGGAACCCTTCGGAGTAGGGCTCATGTAACAAGAGCTGCCTCTTGTGGCAGTCGAGAGGGCCCCTGTTTTGATTAATTATGTGCCAAAACTACAGCTTTACTCAGGGGCCTCATACTTAGGAGCCAGCAAAAGATATGCAATCCGATCCTGCTTGCCCCGGGTCATTAGGGATGCGGACGTGTACTCCGCAGAGGCGGAGCAGTCGCAGACAGGCGTGCCGGCCGCATCGTTTTGGACCAAGTCACCTGTGGCCGCCCCGCTTCAAAGAAACACTAACAGGTTTTTTTTTTTGCTAGGGCCATGC